GGGTGGGCTGGGGGCGGGGCCGGGGTGAGCTCGCGCACCCGTTGTCATGGCGACGGTGAACGCCGGGGGCGGGGGCGGGGACTCCCGGAGAGTCGCGCGGCCCCGCCTCCTCCGCGCCGGACGCGGCCCCCCCGGCGACCCAATGCGCACGCGCGGACGCCGACTCCGCCTCTTCGCCCAGCCGGGCTTCAGGGGCGCGCCTTGGGGGCAAAGAACTAGGATCAGAGGGCGGTCGAGCGCGAGCGCGCCCTGGGTCGGGTATCTCGGCTACTTGGCCGTGAGCTCTCTGGGAGGCCGCGCCGGGTAGGGGCTTCCTAGGGAACCAGGACCTCAGACAGCAACCCTCCTCCGCCGCCCAGGGAGCTGCTTCCAAAACCTTGGCCACGCTCTGTGTTGATCTGCATTTTAATTCAGGCATTTCAGCTGGCTTCGTGCTTTTTTGTTGGAGACAGTTAACTCGCTAAATTGCCGAGATTGGGCTCCAGTTTGGGATTCTCCTGCCTTGACCTCCCAGGTTGGCGATTCCTCTCTTGATACCAGTATTCTTTCACCGTTAGGCGTTTTTTAACGGACAACGAGTTCTTTTGTAAAAGGAAAGACTTTTTACCACTGCAGTTTGAGGAACTGCTACCTTTTAGCTGGTATCACTTTACCAGAGAGAATGACTGTTGAATGAATGAATGAGTGAATGAACGTAGGAGATAACATAAGAAATGATGGTTCATAACGCCATGTCCATCAGAACCTTTGGAAGTCACTAGCTCTAATCCTTTTTTCCATGACCCTGAAATTCTGGAGGATGTGAAGTCCTTCCATCAGCTGCCCCACACAGCCTGGCTAGGAAAGCTGTTGAGTTGGCCTGAAAGGCACACCCTGTGGGACTACTGTTGTTTTTTGTTTTTTTTTTTTTAAATGGACCTTTCAGGCCTAGCTGCACCCCTTCTTCTGTCCACTCCAACAGGACTGTGCTGGTGGTTTTTTTTTTTTTTTTTTTAAATGGACCTTTCAGGCCTAGCTGCACCCCTTCTTCTGTCCACTCCAACAGGACTGTGCTGGTGGCCAAAGTCCTATAACTTTTTGAATCTGTTTCCTCATCCCTAAGGTGTGTGTGTGGGGGGTAGCAATAAAAATATCTACCTCAAAGGTTTGTAGAAATGAAATAAGACAGTGGGTGAAGTATCTTAATAGTCACATCCATCAGCATTATTGCTCCGTGAATGTTCATAGTAGTTGTCCAAATCCAAGCAACTGCTGAGTGAGTGTTCAAAGCAGTCGGGGAGATGGAGGGCCACAGTGAGTGCTCAGCTCTCCCCAGCAGAGGGCTGAAGGTCCAGGACGGGCTGCAAGCCAGGACGAAGCAGAGGAGCAGCAGGTGGGAGACCAAGAACAACTGTGGGAGCCAGGACAGTCCCCACTCCCTGGTTTCAAGCTGCTGGGCAGTCTGAGTCCTTGATCTGCTAGCCGTTTTCTGTTTCCACAGATCCTGTAGAAAATAAGTCCAGTTCCAAGAGTTGTGGAGCCTGTGTAAAATAGTAGGCAGCTCTTGGTGCAACCCCTACACCCCAAAGTCGCATGTTCCCCAGAGAGAGGGAGCGAGAGGAGAAAGCTGCCGTCCAGGCAGATGCACACCAAACTTCCTTCTGTCTCTGTCAGATCCAGCGACCTGGAAGTGAGTTCATTCACATCTGTGTTCTTAGACCAGTGTCTGCCACACAGTGGTGGATGCTTAGAAACAAAATCAAGAAACTTGCACAGACCGGCAGCTGCATTTTAAAAAACTGTTGGTCCCCACAAATCAATCTGAGGTTATTATGATTTAAGGGAAGCATTTGAAATTCTTCATCATCTTCCATGTGGTTGTCTTTGTGAGATTTCCAAGCACACCAGAAATATTATTCCTAATGGGACACTGCAGAATACTGGGCTGACCTCTATGGGTTTCAAGGACAGGAACCGGAAAGAG